TCCCATAACTCAACGCGTGGTTACGCCGACGGCGACGTTGGCGTCGCCGACCCGCGCGTTGCATCATGAGACGCTTCCCATAATGCAATGCGCTGGTCACAAATGAGACGGCGCGTTGCATTATGGGACGTTTCCCATAACGCAACGCGCGGTTACGCCGACGGCGATGTTGGCGTCGCCGTCGCCGACCGCGCGTTGCATCATGGGACGCTTCCCATAATGCAACGCGCACACGCCGTCATTATGGGAAAGGCCCCATAATGCAATGCGCGGGTCATGAGTGAGACCCGCGCGTTGCATTATGGGACGTTTCCCATAATGCAACGCGTGGTTACGCCGACGGCGACTGCGACGGCGATGCCGCTCAAGCCGGAAACGGGCGTCTAAGAGCTGCTCTCTAAAAAATTAATAGATGTAAACCAAATTGAATTTTCATTCCACAGCCATGTTTGATCCCGTCTTTTTTAACAAAACTGAAATAAGCCTTTGTTAACTGGTTCAAGGATGATGCGGCGTTAATACTAGGCCAAGGATAATATTAGGTGTCACCTTTTAGCATATTGAAGACATGTCCAACCTAACGGTCATTTGTAACCATCATATAGTTTCTATATCAGCGAAAAAGCCATGTCGGTTACATATCAAAACTTGCATGGCTCGAATGGCCTGTGAAAGCAGCGAGAAAACGATGTCGGTCAGTCATCGAAAACTCCGTGGCTGAACTGGCCGGTGATTACAGAGAGAAAACGATGTCGGCCAGTCAGCGGAGACTCCACGGCTAGACTGGCCGCTGACTACAGCAAGAAAACGATGTCGGCCAGTCACCGGAAACTCTATGGCTAGAGTGGCCAGTGACTACAGCAAGAAAACGATATCGGCCAGTCACCGGAAACTCCATGGCTAGGCTGGCCGGTGACTACAGCAAGAAAACGATGTCGGCCAGTCACCGGAAACTCCATGGCTAGACTGGCCAGCGACTACAGCAAGAAAACGATATCGGCCAGTCACCGGAAACTCCACGGCTAGACTGGCCGGTGACTACAGCAAGAAAACGATGTCGGCCGGCATCGGGAACTTTCCGGCTGGCGCTGGCCAGTTTAGACAACGAGTCCCCGATATCGGCCGGGATCGGTTTCTTACCGGCGTCCCTGGCCGGGATCCGCCGTACAGCTACCGGTACTGGCCGACGTAATCCCAGTATCGGCCGACATGGTGTGCTACCTGGGATACTGGAAATGCCTATGTTCCAAAAATGGAACATGCAAAAAAACATGCCTAGTGATTGTTAATTTTGCTTTTTTTTCATATGTAATTCAGAAGCCATATGTGAATTATCAACAGCCATCTTAGTGTTTCGAACATTGCGTCACAGTGCGGCGTTTAAAAGGTTAAGGTCAAGCTGTTTTAACATTCCAGTGACAGAGTCGGTTCGTCTATATCTGGAGAGTATATAGCGAGCTGAAAGTCTTTGTAAGTTCTCTGATTTCTGAAAGTGACTTTTCTGATGGGGGTCCCATATTACATTTGCGTACTCTAATACTGGTCGTATGACTGTTTCGTAGACCATCAGCTTGGCACTCATAGTCGCATATCTAAAATTCCTTTTCAAGTATCCTAATGTACGCTTAGCAGAACAGCAGATGTTGTTGACGTGGCTCCCCCATTTTAAGTTATTTTCAATTGTTGCACCCAAATATTTATAGCTATTCACTTCTCTTAAAGGAGTCCCGTTAACTGTGTATACATAATGTAGAATATTTTTCTTATTTGATATCCTTTGGAGTACAGTTTTGTCAATATTAATCACCATCCCCAATTCTTGGCACCATGACCCAATTTTCTGTAGAGCGCTGTCCAGATTAGTTTGATCCTCGCTAATTTTGATATCTGTGTACAGAAGACAGTCATCGGCAAATAATCGTACCGTAATAGAATCATCAATGGCTTGCGCAATGTCATTAATATATATTAAAAATAAAACCGGACCCAAAACGGAACCCTGTGGGGCTCCCGATGATACTGGTAAAACGCTAGATGCCGTGCTATTTATTTCAACAAATTGTCTTCTTTCCTTGAGGTATGCACTTATCCAATTAACCAATTCCGAGCTGACTCCAATTAATTTAAGTTTTTTTGTCAAGTGTTTATGCGGGACTCGATCAAAACCCTTCGCCATATCTGGAAATATTGCGTCAGTTTTATCCCCCCGGCATCAATAGATTTGCAAAAGTCGTAAATGCATTCACTTAATTGGGTAACCGTTGAAAGTTTTCGTCTACAGCCGTGTTGGTTTTTATAGAGAAGGTTGTTGTTTTCTAAGTGGTGGTATAATGACTTTGAGACAATGTGTCCTATTATTTTACAGCTGGTACTCGTCAGAGATATTGGCCTATACTTGGTTGGGGATAATTTGTTGCCAGCTTTAAAAATAGGCACGACTTTAAAGCACCGCCAGTTGGAGGGAACGGAACTTTGCGATAACTAAACTTTAAAGATAAGCGTTAGATATTTTGAAACCCACTCAGGGCGTACCCTTTTAAGAATGCGTTTGGAATGTTATCGGGTCCCCTAGACTTATGCACTTTAAGTTCCAACAAAAGAAAAAAAATGCCTTCTTCTGAAATAGAAATATCTGTCATTATAGGTCCGTTGTATCAAACACCGCCTCTCACATCGTGACCAGGAAATTTAGGCACGTTACTTGAGAACACGGGCCGAAAGAAAGTGTTGAATACATTGGCCATAACCTCTGGATTATTAACGACCTCACCGTCAACTTCAAGATTTGATTTATTTATTTCAAACACTGCAAATCCCCGAAGGGAGTATTGCAGACACATGCCACAGGCACAAGATATGGGTTTTTTTTTAAGGGAGAGAGATAGCGCCAAAATTGCTTGGGAGATAACGCCGAAATTGCTTGGGGTCCATTGATATATACTTAATATATACTTCATGAAATTTTGCATAGTGACAGTGAAATATTATTGCTTTGATGCACGTAGGCGACCCTTTAATTTATCAGATAAACACGCAATTGCTTGCTTATTAGCTAACTTCTTTTTACGCTTTCCCTTTATCTGCCTTTTTAGATGCAAAATTTCCCTGGTGATTCATGGGTTTTGCTTCTTTTTAATTAGCCTTAGGGGAATATAACATTTAATGCAATAGTTAACAATTCGTGTAAAGTCCTCCCACATTTTATCTACCGGCCTAGGGCGCTCGAACTCATACAAAGCCATCTCAAGGTAGTCTAAAATGTCAACGTCACTTGCCATCTCAAAGTCCCTTTCAAACTTTCCAGTACGTTCTCTTGATGCTCTATTTGAATTCAAATGACAAGTTACGCTAACTAAATCATGATCAGATAGTCCTTCGTACACTGAGACGTCATAATGTGATAGGTCGCTACTCAAAAATACCAAATCCAGACTTGTGTCAGCAGATCTGCCGTGCCTGGTACTCTGATGGACAACTTGTGTGAAATCAAAATTAAAAGCGAGGTCGAGAATAATTTCAGAATGTTTGATATCGCTAGTACCTGGTGCAAGTTTTTCCCAACAGATGCCCGGCAGGTTGAAGTCGCCTGCTATTACAACATGTGATTTATGTTTAATATTAACTTCCACGTAATCATACAACTTTTCCATGAATGATATAGGTGCACCTGGTGGACGATATACAGCACCGACAATGATCAGGTTACTGGGCCATTTAATTTGACAAAACAGACTTTCGTGGTCTGGAATTTGATTAAGCAGAGGGCTACAATCAACATGAGACTTGACTAGGATCGCCACGCCACCGTTACGTGACCCTCGGTCTCTTCGGTGTACCTTATAATTCAATGGAGAAATCTCATTATCATCAATATCACCATGTAGCCAAGTCTCGGTGATGACAACAACATCAGGGCTATATGATAACAAAACATGTTCTAGTGTGTCAACTTTATTTACTAAACTACGAGCGTTCAAGTTTATCAACAAGAAGTCACGATTGGCAGATCGACTAGCTAGCTGTCATGCAGGTCGTTTGTCTCGCGTTCTTAAAACCTGGGAGCGACAGTTGTTTTCAGCATCCCAATGCATCATCGATTTGTATCTTATCATTGAGTAGCCTGTAGCTGTTTTGCAACGTACGTTGCAAAACAGCTGACTTGAAGTAGGAGCACGCCGTAAATCAAGACGTTTCCCAACGGGCAGCTGGAACCGATTCGTTTGAGTCGGGGCTGTCGTCTTTCACGTTCTGCGCGCTGCGGTTCGCGTAGCGATGTGCTCTTGCAAAATAATAAAGTTCGATGAAAAAGAAATGCGTCTCTAGACACGCTCAATGTCCGAAGAAGTTGCGGCAAGCACACAGAGAATGTTCAGTAAGGTCCACGTTAGTCATGGGGGGAAATCGATGCTCATTACCTAGATAGCTCATTTTCATTTCCAACGTATACTTCATGCTTTTTCAACGGAAACAGTACATTGGGCGCAATGGCTAAAGGCGGGGCATGGTTTATGCTGCTTTTCTTTTAGAATTAATGGTTCTTTTTAATAGTGTACGGACGGACAAAGAAATTTGTGGCCAATCGGTGATTGATGCAAAACAAAATCGAAGCTTTTGAATATCTCATTTCAAAGATAACTTCCCACGAGCGGTTCAAGGTTTGTACTGGACTTATCAGTAGAGGCAGAACCTCAATTAAAACCTGAACGGCAATCTGATTGATTTATGAAAGCAAAGAGGCCATCAAAGAAAACAGGTGAGACGGCAGCTGTGCTCACCTCATCGTATGTTTGTTTCGTTCCCTTTTCTATGATTGCGAAAACAACATATGCCCTGTTAAGATGACATTCCGGTTAACTTGTCCCTTTTAAGACGACATTCCGAAAACTAACGCGAAAAATACACGCAACGATCTAGTACACCCATACTTTCTCAAAAAATAAACAAAAGACACACACGGGCGTCCAAGGCACGTGCCACTTTCAAAGCCGGCACTAACTTACCTCGGTATAGGTTAATCCGAAAGAAACTTCCCTCAGTTGACAACTGCTTACCTGACCACGCCGTTGCCGATTGCCTTCGGTGGACGTCCGTGCTCGATCTGAAAGCAAGACTGTCCGTATCACATCTCCGCTGCGCACGCCGATTGTTTTCCTCGAAGCGTTGTCAAGGGTTTCGCAATCCAAGCCAAGGTCGCGATTAGGTCCGCTGGAACGCGTATCCGATATTGGAGTGTCTACTGAGTCTCCATTTTGTCCCTTCCATTTGTACCTGGTGACGCGGGGAATGCTAGGCAGCTAGGACCCCTCTATAGGCCTGTAGCTTTCAAGTTTGGAGATCGCCTCTTATGAGAAAAATGGAATATTCATCGGGTCGCATTTCGGTTGCCCGTCATTACTTTTCATGTTGCTCCCGGACGCTAAGCTGGAATAATTTTATTGGTGGGTATAAAAAAGTGTGAAAGAAAATAAGAGGAACGCGAGCTATAATAAAAGCATACCTATCGATTTGATAGGACAGCGAAAGCTGAAGCTGCATTTTGTTGTGTTCTTCTTTTAACATTTTTTGTTTGTGCGTTTGAGGTGCACAGTGTTCGCCCGTAGACAGACGCTGACGCACGATTCTAGAGGACATTCACTCGTGCATAACCGAACGCTGCAGTGCCCCTTTATGCTCGGTGCAGCCGTCCTCGCGCTTCCTGGCCGAGAGCAACAGGCCTATTGACAGCCCGCCACTGTCGAGAAAGTGCGCAGTCGCAGCTAAAATCAAGAACGAAGCGTGAACTAATTCGTGCCCATCGGCACGTGAAAATGACAAGAATTAAGCGCGGTTCAAACAGACTCGGAATACGGAATCCGGGGGCCGGAACCCATACTGACGTAATCACTTCCGGCCCCCGTTTACGGGAGCTGACGTCACGGTTTGATTTGAACGGCGCGCGGCACGGGCCCCCGTATACGGGAGCTGGCGTCACGGCGGCTCCCCAGGCAAGCAATCAACGGCTGTCGTCAAGCGGTGTCGTCGCCGCTTGTGCGGCCGCGCTCCGTCTAATCGGTACTGGCGCGTCGTTTCATGATAGCGTCGTGTCGGCAGGCTCTTGGCTACGAAGCTCAAATTGCCTCACTTATGAACCTTTGTGTAGTGAGGTACGTCGCATATCCAAGAACTATCAACTGGCGTCGGCTGACTACTTTCGCGGCTGCGTGTGAGCAGTACCTACGGAACGTGAAGAAAAAGAAGAAGCGAAAAGCCGTCCGCGAGCTCCTGAAGTCTCGAAAAACGCTCGTATGCCACCATCGTGAGACAGATGTACGAAGACCCGGACGGCCGGGACTTTTTCGAGTGCTTCCGAATGTCACGAGCCAGGTATGCTGCTTTTTATTTTGGATTATTTTCATGTTATATAGACCATTCCATTTAGCGCTCTCTGGGCGGCACCATTTTGTTCGACCGGAGCGCCCTCTCCACACATCCGGGAAGTTCAGCGGGTTCGGCGGGGTAAAACGAGAGAGAGGGCACGCCGCCGACTCCGCTAGCAGACGACAAACCGGGAGGTTGCCGTTCTCCATCTTTGGGCTGTATCGGCGGGCTCTACCGAACACCGAACTCTCGCTCGTGGCACCCGTTGTGAAGTGGTTCGCGTTCTTAGAATAGTTGTGGCTACTCCAAAATCAGCCTATAGCTCTCTGTTGTTCTATTTTGCTAAATGATAAACTAGCATATCTTTCTTCCGTTACTTAAATAGCAGTTGAGTCAGCCGGCAGTACTACCCTCAACTACTGCGTGTATTGCGGCAGGAGAGCACGTTTTTATTTATTATTTCAGACTTCCACTCATGGTCGCTAAAGGCCTACACCAGTACGAACTTTTGTATAGTAAAAAAGGTACAACAACCGGATTTTCTTTTCGCAAAAGAGACCGGCCAATCTGACACAGTTTCCCTATTTTTGTTTTTTATTTGCACGCAGGTAACAGTGCATTTGGACCCTGTGAGTCTTTTTATCTAGCATAGTATTACACGATAACTGGCATAGCAAAATCTGCGCATCTGCGCTTGAAAGTTCCAAAATGACGCGATTTTAAACAGAGTTTCCACGCCAGCCGGACGCTAGCTACAGCCCACTCGGCGGAGCGAACAGCTTGCGGGGGAGAGGGGGAGTGCATTTTTTTTTCTCTTTTACCCTCTCTGCTATGACCCTAATGGAACGGTCTATATCAAGTGGCGTTCCACGTGGGCCCGCGCGTCACTCACAGGAATACTCACGTGGAGCGTGCGCTCCCGCAGTGAAACCACGTTTATATAATTTTTAACGCGGCAGGATCACGAGAGCAGCTTTCGTAACAGTCACACGCTTGTCAGATTTTACTGCATCTGTGCTATCAAAAAATAGCAATGGCATGCACATGTGCACCTCATACGACACACTCTTTCTGTTCACTAAATCTGGTCACGGTGTTGTGCTCCTCCGAGTGCATGTATGACGGAAGCCCGTTGTGCATCCTTGTCCCTTGTGCTAGCTAGGATGCGTGCTTACAAGCTGCTTTTGAGTGAATTCTGCACGAAAGCTCGCGCTGCAAAACCGAGTGATCTTGGGTTCAATCCCCACCCCTGCCCGTTTGGATCTGGATGAGCATCGTACCAGCAGACGTTCGTGTTTGACTATTGCGTGACGGGTGTTAAAGACCCTAGGCTAGCGGTCATACAGTACTGCCTAAAAACTCTCATCTACAGTGCGTACCGGTGTCGTTGACCTTTTTAACCTTTTAAGTGCCGGATGTAACTCGCACGCACAATGGTTGCAGCCAGGCACGTAGCCAGGATTTTGTTTCGGGGGGGAGGGGGGGCGCCTATGGCATTTTGTGGGTCACAGAGTGCCTGAGGCTGGTAACACATTGTGTATAAAAAAAGAAAAATGAACAAATGAGTTGCTTCATATGCCCTCAAAGCTGGAAGCGGAGCACATTTGCTTATGAATAACATCCCACTGCCTTTCCGGTCTCTTTGCAGCCAGCAAGCCAACCACTGCCTCCCTCTACAAACGGCCTTTCTAGAGCCCACTCATATTTCCATTGAAGATGCCGTTTCATCGGGTTGCAGCCACCTCCCCTGTCTCCGAAACCATGTGAATAAATTATTAAAAGCAGTATCGAGTTCTTTTGTTTGTCCTGGTCCTTGTCGTCGCTACGATATCTGTCGTAGATCCAGGGGTACCGCTGAACTAGCTGAATTAATCTATAGGTTTTCTCGGGCACGTCAAACGCAGCGGCCACTTCAGCCCTCTTCGCGGCAGCGGCACTTTTCCTTGCAGCTTCAGCAGCTTTCCTCGCGTCGGAGACAGGCGGGAAGTTCATCGTCGCAGCCTTTCTTGCAAGCAAGCACGGAGCGTCTGAGGCATTTGCACCAGTGTTGCCGCACTGCCAATCGGCCTTTCCCGCGTCGAGCGGCGAAAATTCCCTTTTTTCCCCACAACACCATTTTATTGACAGAAGTCGTTTTTAAGATACGTATGACGCCAAGTATATTTAAATACAGCAACACCTCACATATGTTTTTGTTTTGTAGAAATTTGCATCGCAGAAATTATGAAAGGTAGAAAATGACATTCGGCAAACTGGTCTCCCTTCCCCTTCTCTTTCGCGCTCTACATTGGTTGAATGAAGCAGGGGTACTAAATGAAGGCAAGCTGGCCATTAACTAAACTAAAATAAAACCGCCTGTTCGTTTTCGTGATGTTGGAGGGACCCTATCCACTGTGCAATCTATGATCTATCGCACTGAGAGAGGACGTGTTGTAACGAACGACCTTCGCGGCCGGACCTGGACGCGGATCGCCACCCCTTTTGTAACATTCCCGAGGACGCGCCTTTCGCTGACAATCTCAAGCCGGGATTATTTTCCCCGCTGCCCTGGTACTGTCGACAAAAGAGCAAGACAAGCCGTCGTCGATACCGGCTCAAGTTGGGTGCTGAAACGGAAATGCGTTCTCTTTGAGGCGTCCAAGCAGGAACCAACGGCCACGGTAATCCCTGCTAAGCCGAAAGAAGGAGATAAGCCGTGAACGGGAACTTCCCGGATATCGGCGTCCAAGGTCTTCTCCGTCCCGACTAGGGAGGGGGACGGTATCCTCCGGGCGTTCGTGCTCTCTTAGAGCCAACAAAATGATTAACCGGTGTGTCCGTTTGGGCGTGCTCATAGGCGGTGCCCGGACGTTTGGGAATGAGCTTCTCGGTGTCACCTCGACCTAGATTCCAGGAGCAAGGCCAAATCTCAAGCGTCACTAAAGAAACGGCTGCCACTACAAGCCTGGAGGAACCGGAAGAGCACTTATCCTCTGTGTGTGCGTGTGCGTGCGAGTGGGCGGTGCCTGACCAGTTGGGGAACGGCGTCCTGGCCTAGGGACGTAGGGAAGGGGGACCCTATTCGCAACTCCAACGCCCTATAGGTGGCGGGTCGGTAGTTCCAAGATGGCGGAAGAGACGGGGATAGATTTTCCGGGATATCCCATGCGCCTGCTCGCTGACGCTGTTCAGCGCGCTAAAAATGATTTATTTGTCTACAAATGCAAAGCGGTTAGGGAGGGATCATATTACAGGTGACGGAGTTGCTGATGCACGTTAAGGAAACGAGCATGCTGTTATTTAAAAGTTGTGGAAGCCTCAAAGTGCGAAGCTTTGTGGTGAGCGAGCGCGTTTTAGGCACCGGCCACGTTAGTGTTTGTGGCAGAATATTTTCGAAGGTGATGAAGGTATGCTTGCGCTTTGCGTGGCCATTAGTGCACTAAAAAGAGAATTGCGAACGGTGACCGTCAAGCTTCGGAAGAGCAGCAATACACAGTATTGATGTCTTCGCGTCACAGCCTCTCAGATCGCTGCTTGCCGTCTCGGTTTTAGTGTATTGCAACACGTAATCAAACTGCCCTATGGTTATTGATAAAAAGTTTATTACCGCAGTCTACCATGCGGTGTAGCATTACAACCGCCAGCTAGCGCTGCGCCTTTGAAGCACAATTTTCAGTGCGCGCCAGAAGCGTCGCCGT